GATTTCGACGCACCTCCTCCATCATGGTACTCACAGCAACCCGTAATTCCTCGATCTCCATAGAAAGTTCATCAACCCGATCATCCATACCTTGAATCCGATCGTCTATCCATTGCAATCGGTCGTAGATGGTAGGATCGTTGGTGTTTCCTCTCATTGGCGGCATCGGGGAACGTACCCGGTCTCTGGATACCAACTGATGTAGCGAAAGCGTGAACGAACGGCAAGATACAAGGAGATACTCTCTCCAGAACACGGGATACTCTCCCAAAAGAAAACACGATCAATTATTTTCATTCATCAAATTCTACTCCCCAATAACAAATCATAACTCCCTTTAAATAAAGCCCTAACCCTAAACTTAGCTTATTCCCTAAGCAACTACTAATTATTAAATAATAATAATAATAATAATAATACCTTTTCTACGCCCTTTATCTTTTTCAACTCAGCTCTATTGCCCGAAGCTGATGCTCATGGGCCCGTTGCCTCTTATATTAATAATAATAATAATAATAATAAATACTTATATTTATTCTGCATCAACTTTTTATTTGGGACTACTAGGTCTCGAGTTCATATCATACTCCACTGTTGATCACTTTATTCTTTAAGAAGAAAAAAGAAAAAAAAAAAAAAACTTATAACACGGTTTCTTTGAAAAAATGTGGAGCTCAAGTTAGACTTGCTTATTAAAATATTTTTCTTCATTTGCATTCTTAAAATGAACTCGGGTGGCAAGTTTCCTTAACTGCCGACTAGATTCAATATCTAAAAAAAGCGTAACCGAGTTAAATACTCATTTGCAATACGACTAGATTCAATATGTTTAAAAAAAGTGTTACCGAATTAAGTACAACTTCGCAATACATTTTCGTCCACTTTATTTCCTTAATTTTGAAAAATAATTATTATTTTTTTCTTTTTATTGTATTGTTCATGAGTTACCTATAAGCTCAGAAACAACTTAAATGTTAAAACACAGTTTCCTTGAAAAAATGTGGAGCTCGACTTTAAATAATTTTCTCCAATTATAGTCTTAAAATGAACCCAGCTGGCAAGCTTCCATAGCTGACGACTAGATTTAATATGTCTAAAAAAGTGTAACAATATGTCTTAATAAACACGTTACCGAATTAAATACTCGTTCGCAATACATTTTCGTACACTTTATTTCCTTACTTTTAAAAAGTTCGAATTTTTTTTTTCCTTTTCATTCTACTGTTCATGAGTTACCTATAAGTTCGGAAAACAACTTAAAAGTTAAAACAATGTTTCTTTGGAAAAATGTGGAGATGGACTTTGGTGACTAAACATTTTTCTTCAATTATGGAGCTCCAATAGCTCATGAATGATGAATATATTCAATTTTTCTCATTTAGTAATAATAAAATAACATTTAACCAACCCATATACTCAAATCACATATTTCCTTGATTTTGTTTTATTTATTTATTGCCCTGTTTTTGCATCCCTCGAATAATCAAAATGAAAAACTAAACTAAAACCTGAAAATCCACAGTCAGTCACAGGTTTTCTTCAGTCACAGTCATAAACCCTTCGTCAGCATCCAAAAATGGCTCACTCCCAATTGTAACAATCAGAGAGATAGAGAGAGAGAGAGAGAGAGAGAGAGAGAGAGAGAGAGAGAGAGAGAGAGAGAGAGAGAGAGATGAAGAGAGAGAGAATTTCAACGCACATAGCAGCCTCCTCTACGCCGTAGAATCTGTTAACGAAGCTCACCCTATCTGCCGAAAGTTTTTTGCTTTTTATCTGTGCTGGGACCTGCAGAAAGTATTTTCCTTTTCTCTTTCTCTTTCTTTTGATTATTTTTTTTTTCTTTTTTTTTTTCTGGGCTGCTGAGAAAGTGGTCAAGAAATGGCGGAGGTGGCGCCGCAGCTGACGCCGGAGGAAGAGAAGCAAACCATCAGGGATATTTCTGTTGCCGCCGAAGCCCAGATTAAAGTCGGCGATACATTCTATCTAATCAACCAGCGGTAATTTTGGCTCTCTTTTCTTTTCGGATTATTGTCAATCGTATGATTTACAGATCTAGTTTGAAATCGATTATGTTTTTACCTCGGCAATTGGGTGAATTTATTGGATTTGGCTAAATCTCTTAGCCGTGATGAGTTGTGTGCCAGAGGGGACTAGGGTTTAAGCTTGGAGAGCTTTTTCGGTTTTAGGCAAGACAGTTTCGTTGAGATGTTTTCAATTGTAAGTAGAAAAACATTGGCTTCTCCTCTATGTTCCATTTAAGGCTAGATGTGGTTGCTTAAGAATTTGAGTTTTTCCTCAGTTTTGATGGCTGCCTTATATGTCTCTGCTAGATTAAGTGAAATGCAGTGGCTTTCTGTTGTAGTTTCATGTTCACATTCAGATAATTTAGTTAATTGTTATTTACAGATGCATTCAGTGGGTTTTATTTGATGGGGTTTCATATATTTTGCAATATGTTTTTTTCGTTGCTTAGTTGTCGGAGTACTTAAGTATGAAGACATCTAAAACTCGGAATACATATCAAACTCACATTTTGCCTAGTACGGTCATTGGAAGTCTTCCATTGAGTTCTTGTTTCTTAAGCGTTTTATAGCTTAACCAAATACTGGGGTGTGGCTGGCTTGTTTGGCAGTGGCGTTTGAGAACTTTTGCTCCATTAGTTGACAAGAAAGAAATGGTTCTGATGGATTCCCTCAACAGTTTCTCTTTTAATATCACCTACCAGGTGATATATTTTAATCTCTAAGGACTACTGTTTTTGTCAAGAGGGAAGATATAAGAGATTCATATGTAAGAGTTAATGTTTCTTGTCTTTCTTGTGAAGATGCAACTTCTATAGAACCTCTGCAAGCTGTTATGTCAAACTTTTCTTTATTTATGACTATACACTTGGCCTTTCATCATGTGAGATTTCTGGTAACGTATGTTGTATGTATTAGATATACGTACTTTGGATCTAAGCTTGTTCACATGGCAATTAATCATGGCTACTGGCAGATGGTGGCATGATTGGCTCGGGTATGTAAATCAAAGCCAAACCAGCAATGTGAATGATGGATCTTCTTCTGAGCATCATGATTCTGTCAGCTCAACTGTGTTGAAGAGGCCGTCTTACATTGATAATTCTGACTTAATTGATGAATCAGTATCTGAGGACTCTGCCGTGGGTACTGAACTTCATGATACCTTAGTTGAAGGCACTGATTATATACTGCTGCCACAAGACGTCTGGAATCAGTTATATTCATGGTGAGTGAGAAGTCTGTCATACAGGGTGTATAAGGATGGTGTACACTATGTCAACCAAAAAAAAGTAGCTATTTTTCTGTGAAATTGATCAATGCTTACCAGTCTGATCTTTTGCACTTACTGAATTCAAGCATATAATTTAAATATTTTTCTTTTTATTGTTGTTCCAAGGTTGTAAAATGTAGAGAACATTAGGAAATGGATCGAACTATTACTAATCTCAGTAGCTGAAACTTAGGTATGGAGGTGGTCCTACGCTCGCTCGAAATGTAATCAACACCGGGCTTTCACAGACAGAAATGTCAGTAGAAGTATATCCTCTACGACTCCAGTTGCATTTGATGCCCAAAGGGGATCATACTTCGATACGAATTAGCAAAAAGGTAGTATATACAATTCCTCATCTCCATCAAGGGCGAAACTACATTATTACTTAAGTACGTACTTGGGAGTATCTAACTAATCAAATTTTTTCTCAGGAAAAAGTTGGTGAACTTCACCGAAGAGCTTGTGAAATTTTTGATCTTACACCTAAACAAGTAAGTAGATCTTCCTTGAGGATATTATATTTTATGTGTTTCATTTGTAACTTTAATCTACATATTTATATTTATAATCTCACAGGTGTCGATTTGGGATTACTTTAGTCACCAAAAGCATGCACTGATGAACGACATGGAAAAGACACTTGATGATGCAAATATCCAAATGGATCAGGATGTGGGTAACTATTAGTTTGATCTGTTAAGACTTGTCCTAAATTAATATTTACTAGTTTGCATTGTCTAGCTCTTGTTTAATTATAATCTAAACTATCTTTATTATTTGTTTTCCATGTGAACATGCAGTCAAGGTTCCTGTTTTCTTATTATATATTTCCCCCTAATTTGTTTGCATCTTTGATTGGAACGGCTTTTTAAGATGACTTTAACTTCTGTAATTTGTGATCAATTTTTTATGTGAACGAACGACTTAAAGCCAGTGTAAGTGGAAGCACTTGTAGTGGTTTTCCTGGTTAGGAGTGTGATGTTTCACATTATTGTAACCAGTTTATTGGAGAGATTGAGAAGATTTTTCTCTTTGGGACTTCCATTTTCCAAATATTTTTACTGCTTGTATAGTGAATTTATTCTTTAAGGAGCAGATAAACAGTGTTTAGACCATTATGTCGTAGGATATATCCTAGTACTCATTCCGTGATGCTGAAGACATACTGAGTTCCTTATTTCCTTTGCACTGGTTGAAGCAGATCTTGGTAGAGGTTAATGACGGTAAAACAGGGGCTGTTTTGAGCTCCAATCACGAGAACGGATCTGCTCAAAATGGGAGCCTAGGGACTGCACCTTCACAGGCAAATCTCCAAACTTCTGGAGGTTTGTCTGCAAGCAAGTATTCATCCAGAAATGGTAACTCAGAAGTCCAGTTGCAGAACTTAAATGCGGAGAGGGCTACAAGGGGGTCTTCTTGTGGTCTCACTGGACTGTTGAATCTTGGGAACACTTGTTTTATGAACAGTGCAATACAGTGCCTCGTCCATACACCAGAATTTGCTCAGTATTTTCGTGAAGATTACCATCCAGAAATAAATAAACAGAATCCTCTGGGGATGGTGGTAAGTTTCAAATGATCGTGCTTGTAGAGCTGATGCTTCTTTCGTTATATTTTCTTAAATTTCTTTGTCTTTTTTGCTGTTTCTTTATCTCTCCTTCCTTTTCCTCCATTTTTTTTTCTGTAAAAGAACCCAGAAGAAGTTTTTCTGGGTTGTAGTGGAGGAATTATAATTTTAAATGACGTCTTCATCTAGAATCTAATGTGTACAACTTTGTATGGGAAGAGACATGAGTCATTTTTCTATTCTCTCCTCCCCCAAAACAAACTAGTTCTTTGGTGTCGTTAATCATGGAGTCTTATGTCTTATTAACTTAGTTCCTTTTATGAGGCATTGACTTACATTGTATTTGAATGGTGTCCACTATGACAATACCCACACACTAGTAGTTCTTTGTGAGTAGGTCTATGTTTTAGTATTTAGCTGTGAACAGGATTGAGTTGCGAAGGTTTTTATTTGTGTATTTGAATATATATGCAGGGTGAGCTTGCTTTGGCATTTGGCGATTTACTCAGAAAATTGTGGGCACCAGGGCGAGCTCCAGTTGCCCCTAGGCCATTTAAAAATAAGCTGGCTCGCTTTGCACCACAGTTCAGTGGATGCAGTCAACATGATTCACAGGTTTGGTGACTATAATAGAATTTCTATGAATCTATTGATTGTAGAAAGTCATTATGAATAGTTGTTGCCTCTGTGTGCAGGAACTCCTTGCTTTTCTGTTAGATGGACTTCACGAAGATCTTAATCGTGTCAAACACAAGCCATATATAAAGTCACGAGATGCAGATGGCCGACCTGATGAAGAAGTTGCGGATGAATACTGGGCAAATCATATTGCCCGTAATGATTCAATCATTGTGGATGTATGCCAAGTAAGTAAGACTGATCCTTATTTATAAGATTCAGGTACATGGCTTTCTTGGTTAGTTGTGAATCCATAATTTATATCATTGCGTTGATCTACTAGTTGGAACCCTCATTAAGTTCATTGAAATAATTTGAAACTACTTGATTGACAGTACTGTTGTAGATGTACATCAGTTGGGTTGGGGTGGGGTGGAACCGTGGAACAAAGTCTAGTTTAATATTTTCTCACCTGCTGGAATGTTGTTGTTTATACTGTTATATAGAACAGATTGGATGGTTGATTAGCAGTTTCCCAATTTTTCAAATTTCGACAGCATTGAAACTTCACAATTACATCTATGCTACCTGGACTCGGATACGGGTCCGTATCGGGTGTGGAGATATGAGCGTCCGACTCGTCAATAGTTTAGAAATCTTGAACATTTTAGGCTAAAATGCCACACCCGACACGCATATCCACACCAGTGTTGACACAACATGACACGGGTATTCTTTCTAAATAGAAGAGTCCGGGTAACATAGAATTACATCGAACTCTTTCTTAGTTTTATGTTTTCGCTGCTACTGCAATGCATATTTGATATGGACTTGTGTTTGGGATTCGTGTTCCATAATATATTCTCACATGCTCGTGAATGTTATGTACTTCTCCCTGGTATTGTTTTTTAGATTACCTTTGCTTCCTTGGGTGTGGCTACTGTGGCAACCACATCATTATCCATACATTTCTAGGAATGTTATGAATTCTTATGTTGTTTTCATGTAAGTTTACCCCCACAAATTGGGTTTGCTAGTCATAATTCGAAGTTTGTATTAAAAGTTTTTTCCCATTTTTGTTTTGCAGGGTCAATATAAGTCAACTCTTGTTTGTCCTGCATGTAACAAAGTTTCTGTTACGTTCGACCCGTTCATGTATCTGTCCTTGCCACTTCAACCAGCTACCTCTCGTAGTATGACTGTAACTGTTTTTACTTGCAATGGAAGTGCTCTGCCTTCGGCTTACACAGTAACTGTACCGAAGCAGGGGCGTTGTAGGGATTTGTCTCAAGCGCTCAGTAATGCTTGTTCTTTGCAACTCAATGAGAAGCTTCTGCTTGCAGAGGTGAGCAGAGAAAGTCTCTCATCGTTGCTTAAAATTTATGTGCAGGAGTGTGTAACTAAAATATATATATCTGTGCCATTTATAGATCAGAGGTCACTTGATTTACCGATTCCTGGAGGATCCATTGATATCACTATCATCCATAAAAGATGATGACCACCTCACGGCATACAAGATCCCTAAAGTTCAGAAGAAAACAAAGTTCCTCCAGTTAATACACCGACGTGAAGAACAACAGTATGTGCAACTTAATAAACTATGCACTAAGAATTCTCACCCTTTCGGTCATAGAGTTGTGAAAAATACCGTAAAAACTCAAGGTTTGAATTTTATGTTACAAAAAACATGTCAAAAGACCAGAGTTATTCCCTACATTTAAGACAGAACCAACATCAGGGACTCAGGTTGAACATTGTGATTTTAAAGATTTAAAACCTCAGAGTTCTTGGTGAAGAACTTCAATCCTCGGGTTCTTCTGTAATCATACTTTCGTCTTTTGCCATTCCTTTGATCGTTTTACCTATTTACTTTTTTATTGTTGATTTCCTGTTTTAATTTTTTTCTCTCTCTTTCTCTCTCTCTCTCTCTCTCTCTCTCACTCGCTGAATTTCCTTTTTATTATATCTCTTATTCATTTTTCTGTATAAACCTTAGCGGTGCTGGAAATTCTCAAAGCACTGTCGGGTGGAAGCCCTATGGAACCCCTCTCGTCTCGCCAGTATCCTGTGACGAAACCATCACCAGAAGTGACATCCAACGGATAGTTCACACTATGCTCTCCCCAATGCTAAGAACCAAAAACCCTGGACCAGTAACTGCTAGCAAGGCATCATCAGCTCAATCTCACGCCGATCCCAAAGCTTCTGGTCCAAGAAAAGGTGATGTTGGGGCCTCCAAGCTTCCACTTCAGTTGGTAGATGAAAATAACGCTTGCATTGATCTAACTGTTGGTGGAGATATGGTGGTCAAGCTGTCCTCGTCCTCCATGTCGATTCTTGTGTTTGTTGACTGGTCCCAGAAGCTTCTGGCAAATTACGATACTACCCACATTGAGAATCTGGCAGAAGTTTGGAAGGCCGTGCATGTGAGCAAGAAAGCTCGCACTGAACCTCTTTCACTGTACACTTGCCTTGAAGCTTTTCTACGTGAAGAGCCATTGGTCCCTGAGGACATGTGGTGAGGTCCTTCTCCTTTTTTGTGTTGCTTCTTTCCGTGCATATGATTCTTGGGATTTCTTCTCGCTTTATTTAGGGTGTGATTGGATATGGATTTGATTGGTTTTTAATTGGGTTTTTTTTACCATAGTTAATTTTGAAAAAAGGTGGTATGATTAGTTGTAGTTGAAATTTAAGTTAAAATAAAATATTTTAAATAAATAATAAAAGTTGA